TTAGGACAATCCAAGCTCATAGTGAGCTTAGTGAGGTCCCAAGGAAGCTCGGAGTGCTTCGTTAGAAGTTTTTGGACGTAAGAACACGGAGATCGACAAGTTTAAAGTTTGGCCGGAGCTTTCGAGGCTCTTTCCGGCGAATCCCCGGCGAGTTAGGAGTTGAGGTAGGTATCAATATCTTCGTCTCGTCAAGTACTACAACTTTCCTTTTTGTTTCACTCAATTTCGTTGAGTATTGAAGAAGTTATACTCATTTGAAAAATACCCAGTTTCCGGCGACCTCCGAGGCTTTCGAGGCCGTTTCCGGCCAAACCACGGCGAACTAGGTGTTGTGCAAGGTACCATTCTCTTTGTCTCTTCAAGGGCTACAACCTTCGTTTTTGAATCACTTGATTTCGTTGAGAAATGACAAAGTTATGGCAATTTGAAAAACTGCCCAGAAAACGGCCGCCGGAAAAACCAGTCCGGCGACCCAAGGAAGAAGATGATGCGCGTGGGGGCGCGTGGACCCGTGCCTTCCTTGGCGCGTGGGGGCGCGTGCTACAGTAAAAAATTATTTTAAAAATATGTTGACGTCCGTGACGTCGAGTAGATCACTGTGGTATATTCATATACCCAAATTGAACACCGTATGAGAAAGTTATTGAGGATTGTTGGTTAGGTGTTCAAATAACGTTTTATAATTTTCACATTAGGTGAAAATGTGAATTGATGATCCGACCGTTGGATCGTTACCAAACTTTGATACGTTGTAATACGTAATATTTGAGGATTATTGGAACTTACGGATTGGGAATCCGAGTTACGGATCTTCCGGAATTGGAATTGTAAGTCCATAATATAAGATGTTAACCGTCACTTAGTTTTGGAAATTGACGGAGATCCGACCGTTGGATGGTAATGAAATTTTAGGATGTTATCCTAGAGATATATTGTGGACCTCTGGAAGTTATGGATTTAAAATCTGAGTGGCAGATCTTCCGGATCGAACTACGTAGTGACGTATTTTATATAAGTTATATATTCTATCGATATGAATTCTGAGGTTGGATTTGATTACTATTCTAGGCGGCGATCGTCGTGACGCCTTGATGTGTGGTGCTAGGGAGTTGTTGGACGAACTCCAGGTGAGTGGGCAGTTTTGTTTTCCGTATATATATATATACTTGACGTTTCCCAGAAATTGAATTGAAATGAAAATATGTTTAAAATGAAATGCATATGAGTTATGTGGAAAAACGGGAAGTGAAATATCATGCATAGAATTGATATGAAAAGTATATAGAAATGTGAGTTGAACTGCCATGCATGAATTAATATATGATGCATATGTATGAATTGGTGCGGTGGACGCACAGGTAAGAATTGATTTATGATGCATATATATGAATTGGTGCGGTGGACGCACATGTAAGAATTGATTTATGATGCATATGTATGAAATGGTGCGGTGGACGCACAGGTGAATATTTATTTCTGTTATGATGATGTTGATGTATATTGAGCTCAAATCCTGCACCATAGTTTAGTGCTTATAGTATTCACCGCATCGCACGCTCGTCTTGGATCCAAGTAGATGCTAGTTGTACAGTCCACGCGGAGTGGGTACGACAGGCCAGTCGCGAGAGTGTTAGTGAGATTCCGACTGGTGGGTGACCTTAGATTATGTGCACAGATGATTTATGAGAAGCACTAGAGCGTAACTTGTGTGCAGAAGGCCGTACAGGTCACGCGGAGTGACTCCGGCAGAGTGTGAGAGTGATAGATTTTGAGCTCTAGGTTCAACCGGGCTAATAGAGGGCCTCCGGTTGATTACTTTATTGCACCTGATATGATTTATGTTGATGCATTCATACCTTATTACTGTTGAGATGATGTGGCATGACATAATTAATATGAGAAATGTTGAGATGATGTGGCATGGCATAATTAATATGAGAAATGTTGAGATGATGTGGCATGGCATAATTAATATGAGAAAATGTTGAGTTAATGAATTGAAGTATTGAGAATATATATATGTATATTTATATTTTATATTTCTGGGAAAGTATACAGGTTTTACGGAGAGGGGTTACAACGTTTTGAGAAATGTTTGGATTTGGAAAAGAATTGTTTTACTGACCCACTCAATTTTGGTTTTGCGCCCCTCCAGGTTCAGGAATCACAAAGGTGTGGTGACTACGAGGAATTTGACGGTGTTCTGACAGATTGGACAAAATTAGGACTCACCTTCGGGTGTATCAACTTATAAATTGTATCTTAAAGCTTCCGTACTGTGTAAATGGTTACGTCACTCTCACGTGACGGCCAGCATGCCCTCCTTCGGGACGGGGTGTGTCATACATAGTTCTCCAGAACCAGACATGGCCGAACAAGAAGCCGACACATGAAATTTCTTATGTAATTTCTTATGTTTTTTTCTTTTTTTAGGTTTGAACTTTATTTAATTTCTTATGTAATTTTTATGTTATTCCTTATTTATTTTAAAAACTTTATTTATTTTTATTTTATTTATTATGCAATTTTAATGTAATTCTTTATTTATTTTTAAAACTTTATTTCTTTTGTACTTTATTTAAACACATGAAATAAGATTACATAAACTCACCAAATAAATTTAAAAACAAAACACACTACATAGAATTACACAAACTCACCAAATAAATAGAATTACATAAACTCACCAAATAAACTTAAAAACAAAACACACTACATAGAATTACATAAACTCACCAAATACATAGAATTACATAAACTCACTAAATAAACTTAAAAACAAAACACACTACATAGAATTACATAAACTTAAAAAAATACAATTTATTCTTCAACCACAAGCCTCATTCTAATTATCTTCGCCTTCATGCAATCCCCACTGGTGCTCAATCAAGTCATTCTAGCGGGTTACGTGCCAGTATGGCTCTTGCACATTAGTGTAACGTTGAACGATCAATTCATTGTAACGTCCATCGCGTTCCAACGGCTCGTGTTGCACTGGATCTTCGGTCCCATCATGAGCACAATAGATACGTGTTCTTGAGTTGTTCATCGGATCCGGCTCATATTCATCGACGCCATCATAATCATACTCATCTTCAACAATCATGTTGTGGAGAATAATACACGTCATCATGATGGATCGAAGAGCCTCGACATCAAACATTCTAGCTGCAGCCCTGATAATCGCCCAACGAGCTTGTAGGATACCAAAACAACGCTCGACATCCTTCCTACACCCTTCTTGACATTTTGCAAAGTGTTTTTCCTTTTCAGTCTGTGGATGTGGCACTGTTTTGACAAATGTTGACCACCTTGGGTAAATGCCATCTGCAAGGTAGTATGATCCCTCGTATTGGGTACCATTAATGGTATATATGTGCATCTCGGCGAGTTTCCTTGCAGCAGTTCGTCGAACACTGGGGATTGGGCAAGGACATTTAAGTCATTCTGAGCTCCTGGAACACCAAAAAAAGCATGCCAAATCCATGTATCAAATGAAGCCACCGCTTCCAAAATGATGCTTTTGGCTCCTTTTCTGTTGCCATATGCTCCTTGCCACGCACTTGGACAGTTTTTCCAAGTCCAATGCATGCAGTCCATGCTTCCAATCATGCCAGGGAAGCCTCGCATCTCACCCTTCCTCAGAAGCCTTCGCATGTCCCTTGGCGTGGGTGTCCGGAGGTACTCTTTGGTGTAGAGGGCTTCAATTGCAGAGCAAAAACGCATCAGGGACTCCAAAACAGTTGTTTTTCCCATCCTCGCGATCTCATCCACTTGATCTGCAGATGCTCCATATGCAAGCATTCGCAAGGATGCCATAATTTTTTGCTCGGGAATAAGACCTAGAACATGAAAAGCATCCTCTTTTTGCACAAAGTATGAATCATGGTTACAAATATCACTCATGATTTTGTTGAACAAATTTCGTTGCATTCTAAAACGCCGTCTAAAAATATGATCAGGGAATATGCTATTGGGAATAAAATAATCTTCCAATAGATTTTTACCTCGTTTTTCCCTTTTTCGATCGAGGTTTGCAACACGTCTTGGTTTGGCTATCTGACCCACGGCTTCCATGACAAGGCGGGAATGTGAGGCCTTCTGCCTTCTATGGTGATCATCCTCATCCTCCTCCATGAAGAAAGCCTCATCTCCACCTCCACTTCCACCTTCCTCGAGATTGGCCAATTCTGCCTGTTGTGCCAACAACCTTTGTTGTTGCTCCTGCAACTGTTTATACACCCTTCTTGAAGAAGACATTGTAATAAGAACTTAAGATTTGAAAACGATAATAAGAACTTAAGATTTGAAAACGATGAACAAGGATTCTGAGCTAAAAAGAATGATTGAGCTTGGTGTGAGGATGGATGTAGGGATGTAGGGTTTATATGGACAAAAAAAGAAAGGATGAGGTTCTGGACAATGCCACGTGGCACTACGTGATTGGTTGAAAATCTTATCGAAATCTTGGCTAAATTATTGTAAACCGGAAGTGACACGTGACATGTCGGGATTGGTCGAAAATATTATCGGAAATCTATCCACAAAATAGTACGTTCAGATAATGACACGTGGCATGACGTGATTGGTTGAAAATCTTATCGAAATCTTGGCTAAATTATTGTAAAATGGAAGTGACACGTGGCGTGTTGAGATTGGTTGAAAATCTTAGCGGAAATCTATTCACAAAATAGTACGTTCAGATAATGACATGTGGCGTGACGAGATTGGTTAAAAATCCTATCCGAAATTAAAACTATTTTATTTTTTTATTCTTTTAGACAAAATTTAAAAATATCTTAAATGGGCTGGGTGCCAGCGCATTTTGTAAGGATGGAGATCGTTTGTGCCAGCACATTTTTTCACTAGGTGCCAGCGCATTTTTTTAGGGGTGGAGATGCCTTGGCCTATTACTGTTCATTGGAGTCTGTTACTGTTCATTTGAGTGGATAAATGCGCTGGGTGCTGGCGCAAAGTCCTTAGGGGTGGAATTGCTCTTATGGAAACTATAAATATATACAAGTATAAAATAAATTACCCACTCACAGATACGCAGTCGAAATGAAGCCTTCTAGCCTGGTTTAACTCCGTACGTCCCCGGAATACATTCCTTTATACGTGAAATTACTAATTAACTTAGTTTAATAACACATAAATGGAAACTTAAATAAAACCTCCGTAGATTACTCAAATGTAGGTTTTAAATATAGGAAATAGATCTACTTGATGTCACGGACCTAAACAAATTTTCAGAATAATTTTTAGTCCACTCACACCACCACGCGCCGCCGCAAGGTGGCTACACTGGTAGCCACGCGTGGCACACACCACTCACGTGGCTCCCTCACGTGCGCCCACGCGCTTTCTTCACGAAACCTGTGATTTTTGCAGGTTGCAGGCCTTACTTTTAGAGCTCCAAACGAGCTCATTTCTCAACCAAAATTTGTGATTCAAAAACCAAAATGAAGTTAGGAATGCAGGGAATAGATATATATCCATTTGGTGTTGTGTCATGGATGAAGCTTCCTGGAAAAATGGCCTGAAAGTGGCCAAATGGCCACGGTCCAAGATTTCCAGAATTCTAGGAATTCCTTCCCAACTTTCAAAGTTGGTTTCTAACTCGATACTTAGCCAAACTCAGTGATTCAAAAGCCATTTTGAACTTAGGAATAAGATAACAAGTCTATACCTATTAGGAGTCCAGTTGTGGTCAAGGTTGGCCGGAAAAACGAGCTGAAAGTGACCAAATGGTCACGGGTCAAATTTTCCAGAAATCAGGGGAAGTTCTTCCCCGTGTGTTTCCTGCGTTAAATTGTTCCCCAATCACATTTTAAGGTTGGAAATGTCATATGAGCTTTAAAGTAAAAGGATGTGAAGGTCTTGGGGCTCACCATGGTTGGAAACGAAGATGAATAGTGGTACGCCCACTGTTGGTGTAGGTTCCATGGTTGCAGGGGTGAACTCGCCTGATTCCATGGCAGCTGGTGATGGCCCGTGCTACTGTACCTTTTGTGCAGCGCACCATCTTAGAGAGGAAAGGTTTTCTGATTTACAGAGAAGAGAGAGATTGTGAAGGAGTTAAGGGAGAGGGAGAGTACGAGAGAGAGAGAGAGAGAGAGAGAGTTTGGTGACAGAAATGAGAGATAAGAGGGAGAGAAGTGATTGACAAATGGGAAGTGACCCAAGAAAGGAGGGAGACACGGGAGAGTTGAATCAAATGAGGCGTGGGTCCACATGTCTCACAATACAAAATATTAATTAAAAAAAATATAATAAAGGGAGTAGTTTATCTAGAATAATGAATTTATCAAAATACCCTCGGACATCGTAAGTCTGTAAAATCTCTATTGCCACTCTTAATTCGATTCCGCTTGCACCTACACTTCAGTATCATTGAATACTTCGAGAATACAATAAAAGAATGGGTTCTACGTCTCTCTAACCGAAGGTCAAAAGTCAAAACTTTACCTCTAGGGCATGTTTGTCAAATCATGTTTTTAAAATTAATAAAATTGTAAATGTAGGGACGGGTCGTCACAACAATCATAGTCTCTAAGAAGATAACCGGGCCAGCAATGCTGGCTTTCTAAGCCAAATTAACAGTAAGTCTTCTGATGACCATTGAATTATATGCCTTCTGTTTTCGTCGCTTCGGTTGCTTAATTATCCTTAATATGTATAATTGTATATGGTTCCACAAAGTTGCATGCATGCAGCTGTTTGATAAATAGGAGAATCGTGATTAACTTAAATTAATTTGCTCAAGTTTAGGCTGCCCGACTTGCCTTGAGGTTAGACGAAAGAACATGGCTGATGGCGCCCACCACCAATCTCCATTGTAACAAACCAATTCAACAGAGAAATCTTCTCTAGTAGTGTATATATCAATACATCGTCTCACAACATCACATGACCAGTACGCAATAAATACCTAGATGTGCGATAGCGTATATATTGTTCGAAAATATAAAAGAGAGTATTTAGGAATTTGATTTAATTAGTGATTTTATATGTTTTAATTAGGGTTTTGATATGATTTGATTTGGTCAAGGTTTCCTTGTTTTGACGACAAATGATTGTTTTGATTTATTTCCTAGTATTGCTCTCTGATGGGGCAGAGACAGAATGTCTACTGAGTGAGGGACCTGAGTTGCTTGTAGCCAATATTAAACAAAATTTTATATCAAGGAAGTATTTTAAAAACAAGAATGTATATCCACCAAATAAGAATTAAGAAAATTAAGAAAACGTATGTGGGGCAAAGATTGATTGAGTTGTTGTCACTTTCCACTTGATAAAAACGAAAGGTTTATGCATTAGGGGATCGCATGGAGTTGGATATAAAAACTAAGCCCCAATCCTGACATGTCCAAATCATGGTTTTCCAAACAATATTCATATACTCGACCAAAGCATGTCCCCTCATCTCATCCCTTCCCACGCAAATACCCAAAGTATTTATTTTCTCGAACATACTCATAGACAAGTTTGTTCACTGTTGGAGCCATGCAATGCAATATCCCCGCCCATGAACCCCTCATGGATGTATATTATTGGAGTCTATTATTGTTTTGCATGCAAGACAAGTACAGTCAAACTCTATAGTTCTGTTTGTGTTTTTGTTTAGAAGTTCATTTTCAACAGCTCCATTCGAAAACAGTAGAGAGTACGTAATCAGTTTGCCAACCCTGATAGCGTCGGCTTGCAACTAAACAAAGTATTAAAGTGATTGGTTGCATAAACAATGAGTCAAGTGAGTGAATGATTCATTGTCATCTCATGTTGGGGTTAAATTAAACACGTCTTATACACTCAGGTCAGTGGGGTATGCCCCACCTCTAACGGAAGAGTAGCTTTAAATTACCTTGTGAAATTACAACCTTTGAAAGTATGTAAACAGTTTGATAAGCTAGTTATAGGACTTGGCTAAGGTTTCATATATGTAGATCAAGTTGTGGAATATTGTCTAGCTAATCAAATGATGAGGTGTGCTAATGAGAGCGGGAATGGTCTATTTATTAGTCGCTGATATATGCATTGTGGAACTCGCATGCATCAATAGCTGAGAATCATACGTGTGTGTAAAGAAAAATATATATACTTAGCATTACTCTTAAATATAACCGGTTTAGAAGGACAAGGATTGTCTGCCCTCCTAGTTGTGGTGCCCTTCCATGCCCTCCTATTTTGTGCGGTCACGGTTAAGCCACGTCAATATTTTATATTTTAATTATTTTTTGTCTTATTATCTCATTAAAAAATTAATATAAAATATTGACGTGGCTTAACCGTGATCGCACAAAATAGGAGGGCATGGAAGGACACCACAACTAGGAGGGCAGACAATCCAAGTCCGGTTTAGAAAGGGGAAGACAATTATATGCAGTTAAACAAAGTGGTTTGGCGTGTCAAGCCAGAGGTAGCTTTGATTAGGTTCATTTCAGTTTTGTATTGACAAAGGCTGTACGTCAATCCAATAATGCCCGACCTGAATTAATTTACTAAATAAAGAAAACCATGGCTCTCGATCGAAGTCTCCTCGTCCCAAATATGACAAGGGGATTCAATACATCGACATTTTCAATAGTTTTTATCAATAGAAACAAATATACATAATGCACTCACGTTGAGAAATTTTGGTGTACATGTCATATTGTGTTATCAATTTATGTGTTATGATATTATACGAATGAACAATAAATGTTTGATATGTCTTACTATAAGATTTCCAAAGCTGAAGGCAGCAAGATTTCAAAGGGGGTAGATACAGATGATCCAAGGATGTACATACAAATGATCCAACAAGATTTCAGCTTACTAGGAGTAGACTCTTTATTCCAAATCACTATATCAGAACGGTGAAGAGCTTGTTTTGCTAGCATATGAACTCCTTGGTCCTTGGAATATAGAGAATCGAAATTTTATGATATTATTTTACGACAACTCAATGAGGTTATCGTTCATATGGCATATCCTCATCTTCTTTTGATTAAAAGCTAGAGTATATTTGGTTCGACCGAAATGGAAGAAAATTCAGCATCCATAGACATTTTCAATCTGCAGCAAAAGAAACCGAAATTTATTGGGCATGTTTTGGGAAAGTGGGAAGCAGTATTGCCTCCATACTTCCTCTTTGTCATTCCGAATGGTAACATCCAACACTAGCAGGCAGTGGCGGATCTACAGAGGGACCTGGGAGGTCCCAGGACCCTCCGGAAATCCTAAAATGCTACTAAAAATTTTCTGGGGGACCCCTCGAAGCAGGATCTGTGCTGTCATGTGCTGCAGGTTGCAGCTTGCAACGGAGAAGAAGACAGGGGGAAGAAAAGAAGACAGGGGGAAGAAGAAAGAACAGGGCCTAAGGGCCTTTTAAAAATTGGTCCAAAACGCAGTGTTTTGGCCAATTTGTTTATTTTATTTTATTTTTTTTTTTAAACCAACCGCTTGTCCATGATTCCCAAGACCTTTTAACGCCTAGCCCACATGATGGGCCATCCCGAGTCACTCTTCCTTCCCCACCCCCCAGTTCCTGCTTTTCCATTCCCCCTAATCCCCCCATCTTTCTTATATTCACCCAAAACCAAAACCCAAAATTTCTAATCCCACCCAATCCCATATTATAATTATATTACTCCAATATTTTACCTCGACTTGTTTCAATTCTCCAAGCCACCACTATTTGGTTCAAAATTCAAGTAAGTTTTTTGGTATTAATCTAATCTCAATTAAATTATATTAGATATTGGTGGCGATTTTAGTCTATTATTGATATGTTTTATGTTTGTATAATCATTTTATCATTGAAATTTAGATGGAATTTTTGTTTATTGGTTGATTGGTATATGTTTTTGTGTTTTTGGTTAAATGTGTAGTTTAGAAAATAAGAAATATGGAAAGATTTTTCAAGCCAAAGCCAATAGCACCATCTACTTGTTCGGGTATTATTGATAAGATTTTTCATTAATCCCCCGCAATTGAGAAAAATCATTATCAGAACGCACAAAATGAATGTAAATATCATTTGCTTGGCATGTTTGAGTCCGAATGATTCATTTGTAGCTTTTGATAAAGAGAAGCTTGTCCGCCTTGCTCAGATGTATCCTAAAGATTTCATGGATCGAGATAGATTGGCACTTCAAGATCAACTTGATATTTACATTCATTTTGTGCATTCTGATAATGATTTTTCTCAATTGTGGGGGATTAATGAGCTTGCTAAGAAAATGGTGGAGAAAGGGTTGCATCGAACATTTGCATATGTATATTTGCTTGTTCAGTTGGCTTTGGTTTTACCGGTTGCAACCGCTTCAGTGGAGAGGGCATTTTCCGCTATGAATATCATTAAGGGTCCACTTCGCAACAAAATGGGAGATCAATGGTTGAGTGACAGCTTAGTTGTTTACATTGAGAAAGATGTTTTTTCATGTACTGGTAATGAAGCTATCATGGAACATTTTCAGACTATGAAACCTCGTTGTGGACGCTTGAATTAGGATTTTATAGCTTGTAATGTTGTTTTGCACATGATTTTTGAATGAAATGTATTATATTTAACATTTCAATATTATTTTTGTCTATAAATTTTTTGACCTTTATTATTAGGACCCCCCGAATTTAAAATCCTGGATCCGCCACTGCTAGCAGGCTTAGATTCTTGTAAAAAAGCCCCATCAACTTTTAGTTTGAAATTACTTGGATCAAAAGGAGACCAACAACATTCTAAACTCCTCTATTATTTCTCTCGTTGACACCAAACAATTACTCAAACTAGCTGTTAGCTTTCTCAACCAGTAAATTAATCACAGAACGAGAAAAATGATGTGGTATAAACTAACACACAACTTAAACCCTATAATTTAGATGATTGTAGTATGAGCAAGTAGGGATCGTTCTAGGCCGGGGATTAGGAGGGATGCTAATCAACACAAATTAAACTTAAAAACTGAAAACTAAGCTAGACTAACACAAAATAAGAACTGTGGGGGTTTTTGGACGAATTTTAACAAAAATAAAGTAAATTACAGCAAACAAATTAGGTCTTGTACGAGATATAGGTGAAAGACTAGCTAGAGGATTGTTCTCCACACATGAAACATATGCACACAAATCGATTTCTAGTTATTATTTCTATAAACCATGAATGGCAATGCCCCAAATTAATTGTG